GTGTGTGTGTGTTTTCCCTGCCGCTCCAGGTATATAGCGCTCTGGGTAGAGGTCAGTCAGGAAGAGGCTGTTGATCAGGGTTGATTTGCCAAGACCAGACTCTCCTGAGATGACAAGTAACAGCCGGTTAAAAGCACAGTGTGTGTCTGTCTGAATCCATGTGTGTGTTTATATGTTCCTCACCTACAACCATCAGTGTAAACTCAAAGCCTTTCTTCACAGACTTCCTGTGAACCTGATTGGGCAGGTTGGCAAATCCCACATATCCTGCAGCATCAGGGAACTAGAAGCATACATCAGAACGGTTACACTGAGACAAATAAAGTTTAATATGTACATGTTTAAGAGTTAAATGTGAAGTGTGTTATTCCAAATGGAATAGCATAATAATAATAATAATAAAAGCATGATCTCCCAAACACTCCCTTCAACTTCTATTGGTTGAGAAAACTGATAGTCCCACCCATAAACTCACTCCATTGGTTTAGTCAGAATTGACATGCCATGTCATGCCAAAAAACATATTAATGACATATTATTTACAAAGACTATGAACATTAAATATTTTAATATCCAAAACAATTACACACTTCACCTTTAAACAGAATCTTACCTTTCCTTTTTCTCCATGCGACATGATGCTCCTGCCTGATGATACAACTAAATAAAGAAAAAAAGATATACATAAATATATATAATTAAATAAATAAATTTAATCAAGACTTTTAGAACTCCTAATAGGTTTTTCTTAAAGGGGTCATATGATGCGATTTCAATTTTTCCTTTCTCTTTGGAGTGTTACAAGCTCTTGGTGCATAAAGAAGATCTGTAAAGTTGCAAAGACTAAAGTCTCAAATCTTTATTCTTTATAAAAGTTAAGAGTCAACCACACCTACCTAAAACGGCTCGTTCTAACACGCCCCCACATACCTACGTCACTATGTGGGAAGATTTGCATAACGCCGCCCAAATGTTCACGCATTTCCTGTGAGAGTAGCCTACAATACCAGTGTCCCGGTTAATTCAGTTCCCCTGTTTCCCCTTCGGCATGCATGCTGACCCTATACAGTCTATGATACTGACAAATAATGCTGACTCACAGCCTGTAAGTATGATTTAAAGGATTTGCTACTGACTATTCAAACGCGAGTTTTGGGCAGTGTAGAGTAGCACTTGTTGTTTTGTCGTTTCTCCGATCACAAATGCAGACATGGTTTTATGTTTATGTGGCGCGATGCAACGCAACACATAAAAAGACAGTATAAGTCATTATAGTCAGTAATTATGTAATTCCGTAATTAACCTTAAACCGCATAAATTTCATTACACCAAATACACAAAATAATGTTCTTTTTAGCAACATCATATGACCCCTTTAAATATCTAAAGAACATTGTGGCTATGAAAATACTACAAATACTAATAAAATAATAATAATGGATAATATCTATTGAATACTTAGTTTACATAATATTTACTCAATGAAAGAAAAATAAATACTAAACAAAACTCAGCCTAAATTTAGCATCATTACTCCAGTCTTCAGTGTCACATGATCCTTCAGAAATCATTCTAATATGCTGATTTGCTGCTCGAGACACATTTCTGATTACTATCAATGTTGAAAACAGTTGTGCTGCTTCATATTTTTGTGAAAACCTTGATACGTTTAATTTTTCAGAATTCTTTGATAAATAGCAAGTTAAAAAGAACAGCGTTTATTTGTAACATAAGTGTCTTTAGTGTCACTTTTTGATCAATTTAATGCATCTTTGCTGACAAAAAGTAGTAATTTCTTTAAAAAAAAAATACTATATCTATATAGTTGGAAACCAAGTTATTCACACATTCTGCTCTTGCTGAACTTGTAACACGTATATGTATTTATATTTCGTTATGAGATGACGTGCAGCTTCAGCACCTCCCGTGTGGACAGCGACACGCTTCCAGTGTGAATACAGTGTGATTCTGGAGTGTGAAGGAGTCTGGAGTATGTTTTGCAGTAACACTGCTGGCACTACAGTCAGTTTGTGGTACTCTGATTTTACAAGTTTTACTTGAACTGCACTGGCTATTTTGTTCGCTGAACATTAACTGATCACCGTGGACTTGCTCACTCAATCACCACTGGCCTGATATTTGTGTTTATTTGACTTTTTCCTTCATATTCTTCAGAAAGCAGACTATTTCATTGTGTGAAGGATGTAGTGAACATGTGGCATCATGATCATTTGTGAATACTCATGTAAATAGACTCCAAAGAACCAGCTGGTTGTGTTTTGCAGACGTGTTCAGCACTAATATTGTATGTTGTGGCGCTCGCTGAATGAGCTCACGGTGGGCAGATAAACGCAGACACTGTCAGGAGCTGCCCACAATTCAGCTCATACCGGGAAGCACATTTTGCTAAGTCAGGATGAATTTCCCTCTCGGATTGAGGAGAGGAATGTGATTCTCAAAATGGCCATCAAGTGTCAAACTTGGATGTTTCATAGGCAGGTTTTAGTTTTAAACCCGGGTCATATGCATGAAACGGTGCCGTTTGTGCCTGAAAAATGCTGGATTTTTACAAAGGATTTGATTGTTTTTTGAACCAGAATTAATACCCCATTTAAATTACTAACTATTACCCCAAAAATAAAACATGGTCGCTGCCTTACACAGCATTTAATGTTACTGTTACCACAAAAAAAGCTATTTGGACCGTGTTTGGACTGTAATATCTAGACTTATAATTTGAATAGATAATTCTAGTAGTATCACAAGTTTTGTGTGCCTTACAACACTAAATAAAAAAATTATAAATTAAAATTAATATAATTTAAAATGCAATCAATTAAAAAATACAATCACATAATTTTTGCATTTTAATTGAATTAATGTTTACATTTTTTTTGGGGGGGGGGGACATTTTTGCACTGCTGTTCAACTCCAAATAAAATATATATATTGTGTGTGTGTGTGTGTGTGTGTGTGTGTGTGTGTGTGTGTTTGTGTGTGTGTGTGTGT